GGGATACCCCCCCAGCCGTTAACCTCCTCACCGGGCTTCCTCAGCTTGGGTTAGGGGTGATTTTTTATAGAGGTTTTCTTCCTCGTGACCTTCTCTACCCTCCTCCCCATTGGTGAAGGCCCCCGCTAACGATTGCTCGGCGTTTACGGGTTGGGCCGATCGGTTGCCGATGTTCGGCAGTGATTGCCGCCGGTTGCTCCATGCGGAGCCTCCGACGGCGATCCCGTCGCCCCGTGGGACGTCGTCCTCCGACGTAGCCCTCACATGTGCCCTCTGCGCAACAGAGGGACACGTGGAGGGAATATCTGGTCATACGGCGTAAGCCATCTTGTCCGTGTGATTTTTATAGAGGTTTCCTCCTCTTGGCCAGTCTCCTACATAGGTAAAAGGCCCCCGCTCCCGATTAGTCGGCGTCTGCGGGTCGGGCCGTCCGGTTGCCGGTGTTCGGCATTGACCGCCGTCAGTCACTCCACTCAGTGTGAAGATTCCGAGGGCAGTCCCGTCGCCCCTCTCGTGGCCATTGGGCCACCCGCCCCGTGCCAAGAACCACATTGGCCGCGCCAGTAATTTTAAGTCGCGTGTACCACCTTCCGCGTGCAACTGCTGGTCGTTGCATTGGACGCCGTGGTTTGGTCTTTGGAAGGCTTCCAACACAACCCTAATATTTTCGAAGTATCTTCGGTCTTGAAGGTAAACGTCACATCTGTACTGTTTCGATGTTCTGGCATATTCTGTAGTAATTGTTGATTTTGTTGTTCAAATTTTTTCTCCAGTCGTTTAAATTGGGCTACGGCGATATTTTTTGAATTCCCCAATTTATTTTCCACGCCCTCCTTCATTGGCAATCTGACCTCGTATCGTCCTTCGCTGTTTCGTCTGGTGTTATCTTCATAATGTTTAATGCACTGCATATCTTCTGAGGACATTTGTGCAACCTCAGCGATTTCCTCTACTTCACAGAAGCGCTGAATGCCTTCAATATTAGTTAGTACAACGTTACACTGGAATGTTTGAGCAGTACCACATAAAAGCCAGCCAAGTTGTGTTTGTTGGGCGACAGGGTGAGACGCGTCGTCTCCCTTAATTATGCCGCTTAAAATAATGTTTGCATAAACATCAGCGCCTAACAGTATATCCACTGGACGGCTGATGTAAAACTCCGGATCGGCTAAATGAATGTTCTTAATGTTAGACCAAGTTGGTTTCTCAAATGTTCTATTCGGCAATCGTTTGATAAGACTAGCCATAATGACTACGTTAGCTTTAAAACTGTAGTCGTTGTACACAGATTTACATGTTATTTTCAGTTTCCCCTTGCAGTTATTTTCGCGCTGTCCTACTCCGAAAACAACTCCTTTGTAATTTTCTCGTTTAAGCCCTAGAAGCTGGGCCGCATGTTCTGTTATCAGGGATAGTTGAGAGCCCTGGTCAACTAAAGCCCTCATGTTGTAATATGTTCCGTCGGCTGCCTTTACCTTTAGTTGCGCTGTGGCTAACAAAATTTCAGGAGAGGTTTGCTAAGAAACGTGCGATGTGTTATTTATGTTTTCACTGTCGCATGTTGCAATAGTTTGGCATGACGACGACGGCTTCGATTTTGTGCTGACAAAGGCGTCATGCAATAATGTGTTATGTCGATCCGAACAATTTCGACATGTATGACTAGAAGTGCATTCTTTGCCATTATGCGAAAATAAACAATTAATACAAAGTCCTAGTTTCTTCACTGTCTGCAATTTTTTGTCATTAGGCAAAACTAAAAATGTTTTGCAATTGTACAAGCCGTGTTGGTTTTTGCATAATGGACATTTGAATCCAGATCCTGTCACGTTATATGATTTCGCAATCGACGAGCTTCCGATAGTTTTCTGCATGTTAGAAGATATGTTATTAGAATTGTTTTGAAAAATGTGTTTCCCGTAAGGCGTAAATTTTTTGTTGTTTGCTGAGTTAGGTGAATGTTTCGGCGGCCCTGCTTCTTGTTTTCTACGCGATGATGTTTCCAAGGTGGTAAACTTGCTCTCTAGATAGTCTAGAAGTTCTTTCAGCACCGGTAAATCGCGAGGATTCTTCACCGATTCTAGATAATCATTGTATGACTCAGGATCCATTTTCTGGCTCAACAGGTGGACTAGAATCGGATCCCAACTGTTTGTGTCCACCCCTAAATTCTTTATAGCGTTAAGTGTCTCTAATGTTACGTCATGCATTTTCTTTATAAGCGTTATTGAATGATGTTGTATGTTGGGCAAATTAAATAATATATTCATCTGAGAAGTAAATATTAGTTTTTTATTATTATAACGGTTGTTTAAAATGTCCCAACAAGATGTGTAGTTATCCGCTTATAAACAAATGTTGAATAAGCCTCTCAGCTTCTCCCTTGACCTTTGTTTTTAATATCTGCATTTTTTGAGAATTTGGCATCATGGTGTTGTTATGGACGGCGTCTATAAACAAATCTTTAAACGACATCCAGTGGTTATAATTGCCGCTAAAAATAGGAATTTCCAGTTTTGGTGATTTTTTCTTATTTATCTCCTTTTTCAGGGCATAATATTGTTTTTCATTTTTTGTGAAACTGTATTCATACTGTTGGTTTTCTCCATGTACCTCGCTATCGATCTGCACATGCAGTTTGTCAATGACCGCCCAACGGTTCTCGAGCGTTTTTAAGGCATCTTCAAACTCCCAGTTCACCGACAAGTTGTCTATCTCAATGTTTTCAATTGTTCTACTGAAAGCTCTGAAATTAGCTTCTTGATGGCGTAGCATTTCATCCAGTTTGCTGTAACCCCCCTGTTGTTTGGTAGATGGCAGCGAGCCACTTGTTCCTGTTGTTCCTCGTTGCTGTCCATCTTCAGCTTGGCTAAAAGATGCGGTTGGCGACATGCCCCTGGTGGCATCTTCTCCAGCCCCAAGAAACTTGCTCGGCGTAGACGTATATTGTTGTAGCCTGACCTCATGAATAGACGAAACGTATAGCTGGTATATAGCCTTCGCCTCCTCAAAGTTCCTCTCAGCCGTGGCAAAATCTGCGGGGCTCAACTCCTTGGAAAGACGATCCCGGTTTTGCTGGATTGCTTTCCACAGTTCTTCGACCTTATCCCATTGATTTTTGTAGTAATCAGGCCTACTCTTTCTATCCTTCCCGTCCTTCTTGTAATTTGCCCAGTGTCTCTCAAGTTCTCTTAACAAACGAAGCTGTTCTTCAATCAAAGACATAGTGCAGAAGTTTAAATAGGAAAGATCTTACTTGTAAACTGCCCGCTGGTGAGTCTGCCACGAACGCCTGTTCCTGTTCTCACCTCCAAAGCTCCTCCACTGTTACGCTAGTTCACACTTCACACGATTTGCAAACTGTTCGTGTTACGCGACGCGCGAAGTTTACCTCGAAGGACCAATGTTTGGGGTGCAATTGGAGGTTTTAAAAGGATGTAACGTAATGTTATTATATGTTTATTGTTATATAAACTACTCTAAATGTTTACAAAACACGATGATACCAAACTATGTTAAATGTATTAAATGTTACTAAAGTTAATGGGAAATGTTAATATGTAATGTTGATATGTTAAAATGTTAATATGTTATTGTTATGAATGCACCCGGTCGCAACGGTTCCGAAAAGTACACTGTTTTATTTTACAGAATTTTGTCATTATGTATAATGCGTCGCGGCCTGACCGGATTCAATTCACGTGTTCGATGTCAGCAATAATAATAATTAATAAATACATCGAACACAAAAATTGCTCACTTATAGAATTATATACTCTATTCTTATATATATATATATATATATATAAATCAGTGTGTGTATGACCTGTATGCTGATGATCTGCAGCTGTATTCATAGGTAAGTGTGAAGGAGGACGTAGTCGGTAAACCCAACCAAATGCCAGGCGATCATTGTAGGGAGCAAACATATGATAAGCAGATTGAATACTGCTTCAATCTCACCGATCATCTTTAACTGCTCAGTCATACCTTTCAGGCCCGTATTTAAGGACCTGGGTCGACTCATTGACTAAACTCTCGATTGGCAAGCTCAGGTTACTCATGTGAGCTAACAACACTTTATCGCCTCAAGAATTTCCTGTCTCTTAAAACCAAATCTACTCTCATGCAGTCCTTAATCAGTATTTTAATTGACTATGTTGATGTATGTTATTTCGATCTGAATGCAGACTTCCATAATAAGCTGGACCGCCTTCTTAATAACTGCATTCGGTACATTTACAATCTTCGCAAGTATGACCACGTGTCTGTTGTACGTTGCTAAATGAACTGGTTACAAATTTTCCATCGTCGAAATCAGCGAGCTCTGATCTCTTTATTTTCATTTATTATCTCCCCATCCTCACCTACTTACCTTACTCACTACTTCAGTTTCTTGTCGTTTAATCACAATAAGAATCTTCTCTCTGCAAATAATTTGCTTCTCTTATTCTCCCACAATTCCCACTATGTGGACTCTTCGTTCTTCGTTTAATTCTATATGAGTATTGTAATTTACTCCGAGCAGGACCCGTACCATGTTATTTCAGGTTCCTTCCGAATCAAAGCCGCGCCAAGTAAGGCCCTATCCCGGGGAAGCCGTGGACTTCCTCTACAGATTTGGCCTAGCAATCTTAATTATACTCTTATTAATTCTTCCTTCAAGCAGTTCAACTCTGGAATACGCTGCCAGTTGAAGTCTTAATGTCCACAAAACGTTCCGTATTTAAAAAGAAGATACATAACCTCCGTCTTAATGACACGGCAGAATAATCTAATTGATAGTGCAGCAACCAATTTTCCTACATTCATAGTGTACGAATATAATGCTGATATATATGTTTATATATATGTAAATGTATAGTGTTTATATACAAATGTGAAAAATATCCGATAAATTGTAATTTTTGGAATAGTAGCATCGTTGATCGTGAAAGTAAAGATAATAACAAAACCTATAAGACATGTAGTGACTTTTAATTTTTTACACGTTTTTTCAGACCTGCAGAAAATGAACAGATAAAGACACGACCACAGTTATTACTCTTTGACGCCAAGTAATATAATAAATTAGCAACTAGGTTCAAGAAAAAGTGTTTAAATAAATAAATATTAATGGTATATTTTCGTAACAGTTGTTTCTTTTTCGTACTCAAAAATGAACATGTTTTTTTGGCATAGTAGTAATAAGACCACCATAATTCCCACTATTGGTAAAATAGAATTTTAAAGAAAAGAAATACAAGTACGTTGATACTTTCAAACATTCAAACATTAATATAATAAAACAATGTATAGGTACCTAAAACTCAGAACAATTTATGCAGTTCGGAATCCGCCTCCGAATCCACACAGCAAACACAGTGCTGGCGTTGCAACACCTAGTAAGAGAAATAATAAGAGTAGCTAAAGTGCATTGAAATGAATGAACTTTTTTTTCCAATTTAAAAGATGTGTCTTGTACACATATGTTATACCTGTATTATGACTGTAGACTCATTAAAGTGCAAGCTTGGATAACGCCTTTTGCTCTACATAACGAGTTCTCTGAAGTAGGTGAAATACCATTATTTTTCGGGATATTGCGTGGTCCACAAATCCACAAGCTTAAAATCCAACTTCTGATGTATCTGAAAACTCTGTTACTGTCAGTGAATGCATTAGCATTCCCAGCAGAGAAGCTTATTAAAATGAGCAAGTTCGATGAAACAAAACATGCCACTACCTATACTTTTTAATGGAAAGTTATACTTTTTTTGTAATTAACTTTGTAATTAACAACAACAAATGCATTTTATTTATAAATTAGAGAAGCATTTACTATAAATTATTGTACTCTTTATCTAAATAAATATTATTATCATTAAGCTTAAACCATAATGTTAAAGATCTGATGGTATATAACTAATCCTCGTCTGCACCTGTTTATTAGTCTCTGTTGAAGGACTATGGTGTCAATTGCCGTCTATAGCAATTCGTTGACGTTTATCATTAGCTGTAGTCATCGTCGATGTTTACAAGTGACCTTCCTCCATTTAATCACACTGACCATCATGATCACCAACATGGGCATCTCCTTAGAAAGGAGGTTTTGGGCTTACTATACCTGGCTGGCCAGACGGGTTGGTATAGACTTTGCTTTAAGTTTTCCTTCTCTTTGCAGTGCTTATTTCCTGATCCTGTCCTGATTCCATTAATATTGACACTATCTTTGATTGACTTACTGTAAATAGAGTTAGATTTTTTAATAAATTTTTTTACGTATGAAATGACTCTAAAAAGAAAACACTATCTAAACATCACAAAAAGTAAATAACAAATTGCAGATGAATGATAATAGTAAATGAACACAACGCTGCTAAAGTTAATGGAAAATTACTAAACTCAGTGAAACATTAAGTAATGCCATATTCCGTAAAATTGAATTTTCGTTAAAAAGGAGGTGAATTTTTTAAGTAGTCCTACTACCAATAACTTTAAAATGTTTTTTGTGCCCATCTTTTACTACATATTAATAACGTTTTTGAGTGGTAAGTTAAGTTCCAATAGTGTAACTGCTTATATTAACTGTAACTTCTGTGGTTTAATATCGAAGACGATATTAGATGATAATGCATATTACTGGAGGATACCCAACAAGGAATTAGTTGTCATGAAGGGCAGAGGTCAAGGACAAGTTTCTCTTGAAGTAATTGCCTGAGGCTTTTATCAATTTTGAGTTAACGTTTTATCAGGACTCATCATTTCCTGCCCCTTTGCAAAACTCTGCCTTTGCTATTTTTGGGGTTAGGGCAAACGAACAGAGGGGTCATCCGCCGGAGTGACTACATCCGCCCTTGGACACCTGCAGCTCAAGAGTCACAAGTGTGGTGCCCCCCCTTTAGTTCTCTCTCAATAGGAAGGAGAGGGTTTGGACTCCGATAAAAAGCAACGAAAGAATTGCTTAATACCAGTTTTTTTGTGAAACCATGGTATCACTGCAGTGGAGCCTGGACCATATCTTATGAGTCTTATGAGTACATTTTTTTTGTTTAAAATACAACTCCCACATTTAGAATATAAACGTATAACATATATGAAAGGGACACAAAGAAGACCTAGACTTAGAACAACAATTTGTGGATCACACAAAGTGTCGTCCCCAAATGTGGGGATCGGACCCACACTAACAGTAAACAGCGTGGCGACCAATTAATTTATGCACATCACATTACGCAATCCTTGCAGTCCATATGTGTCCAAGCATAGATCTCTCACGATTAATCCTAAATGAGTATTGCAAATGACTACCGACTTTCGATGGTTACGGCTGTAATAATAAAACAATAGACGCAAACACACACCAGCTTGTTATTGCTAAGATAAAAGCTCAACAAAAATTAAACTCTAAACCTGTTGCATCAGTTGGCTGGTTTGGCCACAGGTTTAAAATTTTATTTTTTATGTGGATAAACTTGCTATATAGTTGGTCCCCAAGTTTGGAAAAGGTTTAGCAGAAACCCGAAGTTTACAGATTTGGCCTAGCAATCTTAATTATAATCGGTAACCCGAAAACTGAGGTTCAGACAAAAAGGAAAAAAAAATTGCTACAAGTGGTAACAAAGAGATTTTATAAATGTGAATACTATTTGATAACGATTTCAAAGCGTTTTTTATATGTAGCGTGATTTTGAATTGCCACAACTATTTATGACCAGGAGAAATAGAAGAATGCAATATGGGAGTAATTCTATGTATCTAAAATCTTCCACAGGTTGGAGTATCCTCATGATTGCTTGTGACTGAAGCTAGTAACTATTGTATCTTAAATTTATTTTATATTGTTTTTCAGAATGCGATGGAGAGCGTAGAATTACTGGAGGTAAAAATACAACCGTGCCTCATACGTACATGGTAAGAGTGACTCTCTGTTACCGAAGAATTTTAGTTTTAATATATATTACAAAGGAGATTTCATAGAATTTTAAAATTGTATGAATGTTTTTAATGCATGATATTAAACTCTAAATCTGAATAATTTGAATAAGTTTCAAAATTTAATTTAGTTGGAAAGCTCAACAATAGTATTTACCTTATATTATGAGGTCAGTATCTATCGAAGGTAATATAAACAAGCACGGCTTTGATGGCGAGGATACCTTTATAATGACCTAGCTTACATAAATAATCGTAGTGAAATATTTGAAAGATGTATCAATTTGACAATATAATTATTTTGGTGGTTTTACTTAGCAGTATGTATTAATTCCCGTAGCCTGACTAGTCAAAGGCCTTCATCAAGGTCTAATCTAGTTACAGCGTAATCTTTCTTACCATAATCATGTCAAATATCAACATGACTACCAAAGAAAAGAAGAAAATTAAGTAGTTTCTGTACATTTTCAGGTGTATTTGCGGAGAGCAGAAAAAGAAGCCAAAAATTACAGTGCCTGGCTATGTGGTGGTGCACTTATAGGTCCAAGAATGATTTTAACATCCGCTGCTTGCGTTAAAGATGTAAATTATATCTACGTCATAGCTGGTTACCATAAATATACCTCCGAAATCGTGGAAAAGGACGAATGTCTTGCGCACACTATCAGGAAAATTATCCACATTTGTGTACCTAAAAGTAAGGTTACACTGATAATAGCCGTTTACTGCTTCATCAGATCAAGCGTTAAATAGTAAAATCATGCAAACCATCTTTAACCAATAGGCTACACATAATACCTAAATTAAACCCCTTTTAATAAATAGCACAAACAACCTAACCTAAGGGAAAACAAGTGTATTTCGTGTATTTTCAGGTTACGATTTGAAGTATAAAGAATTCACAAAATGGTCTGCTATGGACATAGCTGTAGTCAAAGCAAATAAAAGAATCGTTGGTGACCACAACTACGTTGATTTTTGTGATTATGCACCTACAATGATTGATATTAATTATGATCAAGAAGAACTACAAGCGACAGGGAAGGATGTTTTAATTTTGGGATGGGGTCATAAAGGAATTTGGCGTCACGTGAGATAAATATTTTTTTCGTGTTATAATTATTAGACTAAAATCTTCATTTATTTAACCATAGGGCATCGATTTCTGGATAAGATTAGGACATTCTCAATAACTTCTAAAATATTGATTGGCAAATTTACGAGGTCACTTACACTGTGGCTTCTAAAATGAATAGTAGAGTTATTAGTAAGTTATTTGCATTTTCAAAGTCCTTCGCAGTGGTAAGTAAAAATCAAAGAGTCCAATCTTTGATTTTTACTTACCACTGCGAAGGACTTTGAAAATGCAAATAAAGAAAGTTGAAACTTTCAAGGACAAATAAATTTTATGAAATATATTTAAATAAATAAATTTGTTTGATCTCATTCATCTAAATACTAAAATACGCGTAATTTCAACCGTAATAGTGATTTTCTTTATAGTTAGCTAAGGTATACAATTTTTTTTATTTAAGGGTAATGACACGAATGATTACAACCAGGAAAACTTAAACTATGGTGCAACGAAAATTTATAATAAAACAAAATGCGCAGAGGAATATAAAAAATTTGACATGGAAGAACCCATTAAGAGTTATATGATTTGTACATTAGGTGCAGCACCCTTTGATGATCAAGGTGAAAAAACTGGTAAAGGAAATAAAATAAGTAGTATATATACACAAGACGATGGTTGCAGTGACGAGGAGGATAAGGTAGTAAGTACTTATAGTTTAAAAACAATCACCGTGCCAATATTAAAAGAAATACCGTATGCTTATCTATGTCTATGTTTACTGACAAGTACATTAAGGCTGGTTATCTTCAGATTGCATTCATCATCAATAGCCTTTAATAGTAAATAGCTAGACACAGGTCTATCCTTAGAAAGGAAGTATTGGCCTACTATACCACGATATTTTCCTACTCTTAGTAGTACTGTTGACCTGCGTAGTTTGCTCCCTTAGCCGGCTTACAAAAAATTAAGAAGTGATTACCTGGACTTTTTATAATTATTATTTATTATTATTTTTAGATTTGATTTGATTTGATTTGAATAATGTCATGTTGGTTACATTTTTATAATAAGTAATGTAGGTTGGTAAATTGGAATTATAAAACTTGTTGTGTGTATAAAAAAGTGTTGCTGTAGTTTCTGGATAGTTCTTTTTTTAGGATCTACGTTACGGAACGGGCAGCTAGCTAGTTTTCAATACAGTCTGTTTCTGGTTCACTTTTGTGTATTCTGGTATTATATGGATTATATGGATAGTTATTTATAACTCTTCACTTGAAGTATTTAGTTGTTTTCTCCAAAGAGGAGTGTGTGGTTAAGAAGGGAAGGCAATAAAAGAGAAAGGAGTATTGTTCCTGTGGATGTATTGTGAAGTAAAAGTAATAGCTCAAGCAGGTCATGCCCACATTTTCGAATTGGCTGTTGCTAAGAAGTCGGAGCTCTGTAACGCATCTAATGGTTACCTAAATTCACCATACCATGTTCTTTTTATTTAATTTATTTAACACTTTGATGATGTAGGTACAACATAACATTATTGGTTTTTGGTACTGTAAAACCACTAAGGTTAAGAGTCAGTAAGGTGCAGAAAATAGTCAATACATTTAGTGTTTTTTACACAAAAGACGATTTTGCTTGATTTGCTTTGATTTGATTTTGCTTGATTTTCGGAATCAACAATTCAAATTAATTACAATAATAAGTCTTCGTATTGAAGTAGTATTAGGCAAGTTATATTAGAGTAGTGGTTGAATACATTCTTTCATTTTCTTTGTTTAATTTCATTATTTTAAGCATAAAAGATCCAAGATCAAAAATGAAACAAAATATTTTTGACATAAAATGAATTTTGTGTATATAATATAATAAATTTAATTAAGTACACAGTTAATATTCGTATTATTCTGATTTACCGTATTTTCATTTACAGAAGGTTGAAGAAAAATCTCAGGATAGAAGTCAAAATAAGAAGACGAAAAAAATCAATCGTGTTGGAATATGTCAGGTAATTTGTTTCATTAGATGAATATTAATCAATGAGTGATTACTTAAAATGGATGAATCCCGCAGTTGCTTACGATCAATATACATTCTAAAAGAAAGTCCCTCTTCCTTGTCCGTCAGTTTTTCTGTATGAACGCAATAAAAAAATAAAATCAAAAAGTACTGCTAATGCATACATAACAATACATAAACAACAAATAACAACAACAATTCTTCATTCCCATCATACAATTTCTTCTCCTGGATTGCGATGACATTAGTTTTGTACATCATTCAAGGTCACTACTAACTAATAAAATCAACATACCCATTCATTTTTTTGTTTCTTTGTTTAAGATATTTAGTAATTACACTAAATATTTTTAACATGTTTACTAAAACCATGATGGTCATAGTCGTGCTATTTCATAGTGCTGGAGTAAAACTGTACAGCATGTAAAAAGTACGAACAACAAAGTTTTTGATATACAATTTAGCATCGATCTTTTTAGTAAATAAAGTGGTCTTGGTGGTTATGTCGTAAAATCCTTATTATTACACTACCTCAGAACTATTAATTACAAATCACCAATTGGCTATTCACTATATGGTCCAGTAACGAGTGAACCATTAGCTTAGTAATACTACTAACGTATTAATTTATTTTATTATACATCCACAAGTAATTCCTAAGGGTGTTAAACCCTTAATTCATATTAGCTTTTAGTCTAGGCTTCGTAAGCGTTAATGTTGATTTTGTGAAAAGTCTGTTTCTAGACCATAATCGAGCTCTGTGACAAATTTTATCCAAATCCGACCAGCCGATCTAGCAATATTGAGTAACAAGCATCAATAAATCCGTCAACACAAACTTTTGTATTTTTTATATTAATGATGTTTAGCTGTAAAATGTTAGTAAAAATAATATTCTTACTTTTAGAATGACCACGGTGGACCGCTTGTTACTTGGCAACGAAATAAACAAGTAATTATAGGTGTTTCCTCTCTCTTCAAAGTTAAGAAGGAGAAATGCATTGGGCCCTATTTATTTACCAGTACGTACTATACCTCAGACTTTTTGAAATGTGTTGTGGACGAATTCTCAAAATATGGGAGAAGATCTATGTGAGTCAAAATCATAATATTTAGGGTAAGTTTAAAGTCGTGTTATTCCTAAGAACAAGTAATCATTATGTTGTACAATTTTCGAATAGGCATTCAAACGTGTGCATCTGCACATAGAAATACTATATATAGCTTCATATGTAAATATTAAACAGTCAGCAATAACTTTTAAGGCCACAGAAAGTATTGAAAACGAATAATACATTGTAAAGGACATTCACACACCAAAAGATGAAAAATGAGTGATGATGGCGGTGATTAATATAATACGTACTTATAGATTCTAAAAATATGCTTTCATAAGAATATAAGCTGAGATGGCGACTTTTATTCAACATATACATATACACAAAATTTTGAAGATTCATCATCACACATATCCAATATAGTAATAGATCATAATGAATTGCTTAAATTACTTCAAACATTGGACACTGGTAAATCAGCTGGTCCAGACAAAATTCCACCCCTATTTCTGGTTAACTGTGCCAAAACTATTATGATTCCAATAAGTTTATTATTCAAAAAATCACTGCGTGAATGCGTTATGCCGCACTTGTGGAAGGCAGCATTCGTTACCCCGGTACACAAGAAGGGCTCTAAAAGTGAGGTGACTAATTATCGCCCAGTCTCGAAATTGTGTGTAATAGCTAAAGTATTCGAAAAAAATATTCACACTCAGTTATACAATGCACTGAGAGGTAGTCTTAACGGTTATCAACACGGTTTTATGAAGGGTAGATCGACTACTTCAAATCTTATTCTTTTGGATAACTACATCACGGAGAATATGAGCCAGGGTAAGCAGGTCGATGTCGTTTATACTGATTACAGCAAATGTTTTGACCGGATTGACCACTGCACCTTGATTTATAAGCTGGGTTCTGTCGGGATAAGAGGAGATCTCTTAAGATGGATTACCTCATATATATCTAACAGGTCACAAGCGGTAGCTATCAATAGATAGATATCATTTCGAGCTGGATTACAGTCCCTAGCGGCGTTCCTCAAGGTTCACTCCTAGGTCCTCTGCTCTTCACAATCTTTGTAAATGACATCGATAATTGCTTACAATCTGCTAATTTACTCTGCTTCGCCGATGATATGAAGATTTTTAAGGCTATTGCATCGCAAACAGACGTTCATGCATTGCAGAGTGACCTGCTGCGTATAGATGACTATTGCATTAGGAACATGCTAGACTTAAACCCATCAAAGTGTTCTGTTGTTACATATACAAGGAAATACACCACCGTTGAGTCAGAATACACATTGAAGGGACAAACGCTACACAGAAGTCACAGGGTTCGTGATCTTGGTGTAATATACGATTCTAAATTACTCTTTGATGAGCATGTGGACAGTATAGTAAAGAAAGCGTCGCAGGCATTAGGGTTCGTGATGCGGATGTCTAGCTGTTTTAAGGATGCGAAAACATTTAAAATACTATACTGTACATATGTACGCAGCATATTGGAGTATGGTTCGCAGGTCTGGAATCCCAGATACAATAGATATATCATAAGAATAGAAAATATTCAAAAAAAATTTGTTAAATATTTGTGTTATAGAGTAAATATTAATTATAGGAGTTCAGATTATAATAAATTGTGTGCAAAATTTCACCTTCTTCCTCTCACTGAGCGGCGGGCTATAGCAGACGTTGTCTATTTACTTAAAATAATAAATAATGAGGTTGATTGCCCCGAACTTCTTGGGCAAATTGGGTTTGAGGCACCGGTAAGGAATATGAGACATCACGCACCTATTCACCTTACCAATGCATCATCAAATTATCGACGGAATACGTTTCTTTGGCGAGCTAGCAAGACCTTAAATAACATCTGCGAGTCACATGACATTGATATTTTCAACACTAAAACAACTACAGTACGTCGGGTGCTAAACCAAGATTTCTTTCTCCCTTTCTTGTAATTGAGTGATAGCATATGTGTAATTAATATGATACATACATTGGCCGCACGAAATTATGTAAAATAGTGCTTATCTGTGAAGACCTTTAATTGGCTAAATGTTTTATATTATTGTCACTATCTCAATGTTAAAGCTGTTGGTTTTCCTTCAAATAAATAAATAAATAAATATTTTAGAAGCTGAGATGTGATGCACTTTTTATGTACTCTTATTATATTTTTATTCTTCTTCAGTCTGGTTTCGCACTCTTTTGTGCTGTGCAGTTTTCTTTATTTCATTCCTCTATTGTAGATTCTGGTGCACAAACAGGAGTCTCAGCTATGAGAATCCCCATTGTTTTGTAAATGGAACTAGTTCTATTTAGACGACTACTATAGATCCCAATAGGATAATTTTCATTAGAGGCATAATCTTATCAATCAAATTAGCACTTAGATTATATTTAACTGCTGCGTTTAACTACTGCTGCGACAAGAGTCAACTCGCATTGGTAGTTTTGAGTTGCCAGTATGTACTTTGTGCAATGAGAGTTAGAGGTAAATGTACACTACATTTCACCTCACAGTTTGATACATGATTGTTACAGGCCAGATTACTGTCGTTTGCCACCAGAAGAAAAAGGGTTTGAAATTATTGAACGAAAAATAACATGGAGGGTGGCTTCGGATGAATTGTAAGTAACAGTTATTTAATTCGATATCAAGAAGTAAAGTTTCTTCGTTTATTTTTATAAAACCCAACGAGATAGACAAAGAGAGCATATATACCTAATGTTTAGTAAAAAAAAGGTTGTATTAAAAATAATTACAGTTTAATCTTTTAGATCACATGAGAATATGGATTATACAGATCCTTTGATAACAAAGGCACCTACGGATAATTTGGCAACAGAAAAATGGTAATGTTAATTGAATATTAAGATCCTTCACTCAATTATTAAACATTTCGACCAAGTAATAATCTGTCCAATATTGAATAGCTTCTAGGTTTGTGGAGGGTTTACCGCGTCGTTAGCAGGCACTACACTGTAATAACAATATTACTGTACAACTACTACTATTTTGTATAAACAAAACACAGTTGATTAGGTTTATATAAAATCTTTTTTATTAATAACGTTTGAATAGCATAGCGACTGCATGGATGGCGTAGTGGTTTAAGCGGTCGCCACGCTGATTGTTGTGGGTCCGATCCCTACATGGGACGACACTTTGTGTGATCCACAAATTGTTGTTCTAAGTCTGGGTGTCCTTTGTGTCCGCTTCATGTATGTTTGTAAAGTCAGTCAGTCACAGGCTTTAATCCTAGTGCGGGAGTTGTCTTTTTAAAAAAAGAAAAAAAGTAAGTTGAACTTAACTATTTTGTGAGGATCAATGTAATAAAATTAATTTCAAAATTTTCTAGGACAGAGGAAAACATAGAATACACAAATTTGATGACACCGGAAGTACGTGCATACCAGAATGGTCCAAGTGAAGGGTAATTCTTATATTTTAAGTAAATTTAATTTAGTAAATAACATTTTGGTTAAGAAGTTATTTTTAAAATGACAATAGCTGATAGTAGGGTTGGTATTGCATTTTATACCTGCAGCCATGTCAATATTTGTGTTATCCCAACATGTGTCTGAAATCGAAACTTCCTTAATGAAGGTTTTAGATTGGGGTCAGCTTAATCTAGTCTATAATTACCAGACACAGGTATTAAACGTTCACTATTAAAAAGTATATCGTTTATCGTATCACTTTGAGATAACTCCCTAAATTGTCACAGGCAGCGTCGGTATCTTTGGTGTAGACGTCGCTTAGATGTCGTACTTACCGCCTGGTACTAGAACACTAGTACTAGTACAATTATTTAGTTACTAGTTCCCAGTGCTGCTCACTAGACGATTATACGAGTATGATTCTGTGATTTTCGATTTCAAACAAAGTGATTGTTACGGAGAAGTTTAATAAAATAAATGAAGAAATAAGCATATTGTACCTTTATTATTTCAGTTATGTTCGAATTAAAGTTCAACTTGACTACTTTGTGAGGGTCTATGTTATAAAATTAAGTTAAAAAATGTTTTAGGCCTAAAGAAAATACAGAAAATACGAATATGGTCACGCCGGAAGTACGTTTGTACCAGAATGAGCCAAGTGAAGGGTAATACCTACATTTTAAGTAAATTTAATGTAGTAAATAACATATTAGTTAAGACATTTATTTTTACAATGATAATGGCTGATGATATATACCTTTTATACAGGCCGTGCCAAAATTCAACCTACCAAACTTGTGTCTGAAATTTAAACTTCTTTAACGAAAGTTTTAACATGGGTTAACTTATTCTAGTATATAATATTCTCACAGACATATGACACAGGTATTGTGCGTTCACTATTAAAAAAGATGGTCGAAAATTGTCACAGGCAGCATCGGCGTCCTTGGCGTAGACATATCTAGCAAAGTCCATTTTCGCGGTCGCTTATATGTCTAACTTATCGCCTGGCACTAAAATTTGTATTTTAGTGCCAGGCGGTAAGTACGACATCTAAGCGACCACTACAATGATAATTTAGTTAGTAGTTGTCATTGCTGCCCACTATACGTTTATTTGATTCTGTGATTCTTATACTTATTAAACAAAACATAATAATGACTAGGCACAGCCTGTGCTATGGTAACCAGGCTGCTGATAAACACACTTGTATATATCTAAATACATACATTTTATAGATAAGTTACACCTAGACACAGGACAAATGATCGTACTCATCACACAGTTATTTCTCCTGGGTGGTAATGAAACCTACAACCTCCGACCTAGCAGTCAAGGTCCCTAACCACTAGACCAAAATACCCTATGCCCAATAGACTCGCTGTGTTTGATTTCGGTGGGTAATTAACACATAGTCATACATGCGTTGATTTATTAAATTATAATTGATACATATGTGTACTCAACTTTAACAACTTTACCTAAAAGTATATTATATGTAAATTTAAAATGGATTTGTTCGTTTTCAGTTTACCTGAATATGAGACGTTTCGTGTTCGCCCGCAGAAACCATTGCGGGACGTTGGGTATGATTAAATATTGCGGCAGCGGAAGCTGGAATAAATATTGTTTCTTTTGTCGTTAGACTTGTTTATTTTAAACCAACTATAAAAAGAAGACTGTGACGTGAACGCCATGTAGTTGTATAATATTATTGGTACCACAAATAATCGTACTGTTTAATTTAGTGTTTATATAAAGAAAATATTATATAACAGGATTTGAGTAAATGGTTTTTGAAGTTGTTTATTTATATCTAAGTACATATTTTTATTTTAGACTTTCAAGAAATGTAGTAATATTTTAATTCTAGTATCACGTGAAGTTATGATTAAGATAGTTAGTATTGAACAGAAAAGTTGGTACGGATTTACGTATTGGCCACTGATATTGTTGATCGTATTGACCTTGCCGACATGAAATAACTTCTATAACTTACTACCGATACCAATAGTAAAATGGTGTTTTGCTTACCGATAGTACCAATACTGATAGTAATATGGTGTTTTGCTAAGAGCACACTAAATAATTTCGAAATGGCTATTTTTATTTCGAATTAAGGTATCCGCAATGTGTGACATTCAATCAAGACAGCGTCGGTCGGGTCTCAATAAAATTTACTTTTAAAGACAAAGGATTAAGTATACTCGTATAATTACAATCAGTATTTCATAAATGTGTTTTGTTTTCATCACACATCACTCTTTAAAAAAAACATTTTTCAACTATCATGATAATTTGAATTCAATAATAATATATATTTTTTCACTCATTTCACACAGGGCCGTCTGATCCCAAACTAGGCAGAGTCTGGACTGTGTTAACCGGACTGCTGATAAACATACTTATTTATTTCTAAATACATACATATTATAGACAAAGTACACCAGACACAGAACAAATGACTGTGCTCATCACACAATTATTTGCAGTCAGGGCCACTAGACCAACATGCCAGTCAAAAACCAATCATTAAGAAACTCCTTAAGAAAAACTGGTAAGTGGAAATGAAGGCTTGTGAAAATACATTTGGAAATCATTAACTCGTATTTTTTCACAATCGATGACATTCACAAGTAAATTTAATTCATTTTATACAATGTACATTTTCGTTCAAAACATTATCCAAATTATACGAACGGTTTAGGAAGATTATGATAGGTATGTACCTATTAATAAATGTACTGGAATCATTCATAAAAACTAAACAAAAATAATAAAAGACTATTATTATTATTCATAACAATAGTATTCGCCACCAGCTGGTTTCACAGTTCACGTACCTTTCAACTCTATTAAAAAAGCTTTATGGATCGTAACCCTCTAACTCCAATTAAATTGTAGCTTTGGACAACCAGTTGGATTTCAATTAAGATAGAAATACAAAAATGGTATTCCAACATATTCCGATTTGAATAATTAACTTCGGTACTTTTTAATTAAATAAAAAATTCTTGCAGTCTTAGTGTCAGTAAACTAGAATGACGTCAAATATCATAAAAACATTAGGTCTTTACCTATGAAATTGCCGTTTTGTATGCAATAAGTGAAAGTACTTATTTTTTCAAACTTTATATTTTTGTTATTCGAAGTAATCACCAATGCAATCAACGCATCTTTGTCAACGCATTGGCAGTTTATTGATGCCCTTCTTGTAAAAATCAGCTGGACGGGAGGCAAAAAACTCTTCAAAGGCATTTTGTACTGCCTCTCGGGAATTGAATTTTTTTCCCACTAAAAAGTTGTCTAAATTTTGGAAAAAGTAATAGTCGGTAAGTAAAAAGTAAAAGTCGGTGCAAGGTCTGGTGAGTATGGCGGATGAGGGAGAGCTTCCAACCCCAGCTCTTGCAGCTTGGAGACTGTCTGTTGCGCAGTATGGGGTCGCGCGTTGTCGTGAAGGAGCAGTGGGGATGGCCGATTGACCAAAGCTGCATATGTGACCACCAGACCTTGCACCTACCAACTATTACTTTTTACAAAATTTAGACAACTTTTTAGTGGGTAAAACATTCAATACCCGAAAGGCAGTACAAAATGCCTTAAAAATTAAATCTTAAAAAAAAAATTGCTCTGTGTAAAAATTAAATCTTTCTACTTTGTATATTAATATCACGATGATACAATACGGCTGTATGTTACGAGCAAAACATTTACAGACAAATTTGCAAAATCGTCTTTTTTTATTTTTATTATTAACACGACTAGTGGCTTGTACTTATCACTGTGTGGTCATTAACTGTGTTGAGTTAAAATTTACTTAAAATATTCAAGTAAATGTACTGGCTATATTTATTCTTATCTGAATGTCGATTCCGGATAATATGAGTGGCCCGTTCGATACTGAGGGGTAGCCTAGGGAAAGTCGTTACCTGGCCGAGTCAATCATATAGGGATGTGACTAACTTGCGAAATAATATCGGCAAAATATGGAAAATGAACAATATAAAGATACATTTAAGTAAATAACACAATATTTCCAATGGTTCTTACGAGATTATATCACTGCGAAAGAATCCCTAGAAGAAGAATCCTTGCATCCTCTGCTAATTAGCCAAACATAACCAAAGAAACAGAGTGAGCCTAAATGCAAGCCGTGACAAGCAAACCTCACGAAGCCTATTTAAAATATTAGTCAAAAGCAGCAGACGTTTCTCTTGCCGGCCGAAACTGAACTTACTTGTATTTTGTGTTACGGGTTGTTTTAAAAGAACACGACGTCTTTATAGTATACCAGCTTTTACCCGGGGCTCCACCCGAGTGTATGTCGGTTATCGCGGTAAAAAGTAGCCTTTGTTACTCGCTTATAATCTAGCTTTCCATTGGTAAAAGAATATTAAAATCGGTTTGGTGATTTAGGCGTAAATGAGTAACAAACAAACTCACTTTCATGTACATAAGAATACGGAGTGTCACCACCTCTATTCATCCCACTATTAAAACCGGCTAACGAAACAACAACAGCACTGTAAAGAGAAGGAAAACTTGAAACAAATCCTATACCAACCCGTTGCCAGCGTGGTATGGTAGGCCAAAACCTCCTTTCTAAGCAGAGGCCTGCGTCCAGCAGATGACTGCTAAATGCTGTTGATGATGATGGATAGTCCCTTAAGCAAAGTTGTATTCAGAATAATATTATAAATGCGAATTATATTTAATAGTTATTTTATTAACTAGAACGTTGTTTTACAATGATAGCGATTTTTCTAGATACGAATGAGTATCTAGAAAAATCGCTTTCATTGTAGTACAGCGTGTAATGCTTGCGTAATATTCTGTAAAAAATTACTAAAATTTTGCTACTGTTACTATCGAAGTTTAAAATAACTTATTTTCCATGCCTTGAATTATCGACTGGTATCTCGATATTGTTCCATTTACAAACACCCCTATGAACAGAGCCTCTAACCTAGTTAGAGGGCGATCTCAGCCGGTCAACTCTCCAATATCGTGTATAAATCTTGAGTTAGCCTTATTCGAGTTATTAATAGTGACAATTCAAATAATAATCGATGATTATTACAAAGCCGTTACTAAAGTGTTTCTCCTTTTACGCTTCGAGGAGATATGACGAGACATATTTATTTCGAAACTTCGAAAATTAATCGGTGTGTTATTTATTTTCAATATTCATCAAAAACGCTCAGCTTATAACTACACTCAGATTATTGGTTTGATTCTATTTCATCTCTTGTGATGAACAATAGAGAAAATTCTCGACAGATAATCATAAAATCCAGCTTTCTGATAACTGTGAAAGCGGACAGAATTTTGAGTGACATCAAACAACATAATCAAACGGCATTATGGTGGTTTCCTGTCATGATTTTAACAAGAAACTGATTTGAAGTCCACGATAAATACGAGAAGATGAAATTAACTTTCAGGTTCTTAGTAGTATGGTTAATTTTAGAAGTTTATAATTAAGCTATTTTGAATAATAATATATTTCGTTTTATTAATGTATTTCGTTTTTTTTTTGTAAGAATCATAAATATGTTTAAAAGTATAATCTACATATATGTATATTTAAAGAAATAAAGAGAATAATAATAACAACTTTACACATCTTACACACGGCCGTCTGATCCCAAACTAGGTAGAGCCTGTACTCTGTACTGTACTACTGTACTCGTAGTAGTGGTAATTTTCCGCTATAAAAAGAATTTCAGTATTTGTTGCTTTTTCACTGTCAGCTGCAGTATGTTGGCGTGTAAGTCGTGTTAAAAGTTTTATACGGCTAATATACTGTCACAAAAAAAAACACGCATATTCCAGAAAAATCATTTAACCGCTCAATTCCGGGAATAGTTAAATAATAATGCAGGTAGGCACGGATCGAAGATCGAAATTAGATTGTCAAGCGATTATCTTGTTTACATTCGAAACGGATTTATATTTCTCAGTAGCCGACGGTTCTTCAGCGTTGTTGAACGGTTTTAAGTGTAGTGATAATAAAGTCTCTTTACTCGTCAGAAGGTTTATTATTCCAAATCAAAGAACCCTAACACGTAACAAAACGTTCATAGAAAACGGTGATCATATTTTACGAAAATAATGAACAGTCAAAAAAGTACAAGTTAGTTTAAAATAGATATCAAAATGATGTTAGAGTAGGTATATATCTGAAATATAATATTTTTGACATCTATTTTTGATATAACCATAAGCTGTGAAGATAAAGAACTTAATTACTACTTTACTTTCATGTTAGCATCAACGATTGGAGATTAAGTATTGTTTTAATATTTGCAGAGCACATTTTCTACAAAGATAGGTATTCTGTTAAAATCTTCTGTTTTTAATACCCACAATTATATTGCTAGTCATTTCAACCTCCTCTCTTAGAGTAAGTCATTACATTACCGATATCGTAACAAACTAGTTAATTCCATAGTTTAATTAATATAATTAGTAAATTTTAAATTCATTTTTTCAGTTTGAGAAGATGAGATTTCTGCTTCCCTTAAACGTTTTCTAAAAGTAAAACTAGACAGATAAATACAATATTGGAAAAAAATCATTTTTTTTTAATCTGT